GTATGCGATGGTTTGTACAAGACCGTATATTGCTCACGCTGTTGGAGTTGTTAGCCGTTTTCTTTCTAATCGGGGAAGAGAACATTGGAATGTTGTGAAGTGGGTTATGAGATATCTCTGTGGCACTTCTAGTCTGAGTTTGTGTTTTGGTACAGGGAAGCCTATTCTTTGTGGTTATACTGATTCAGACATGGCTGGTGATGTTGATACTCGCAAGTCTACTTCAGGGTACTTGGTTATTTTTGCAGGGGGAGCTATGTTTTGGCAATCTAGGTTGCAAAAATGTGTTGCTCTATCTACTACAGAAGTTGAGCTTATTGCTGTCGTTGAAGCTTGTAAAGAATTGCTTTGGATGAAGAGATTCTTGGGGGAACTTGGTTGTGCTCAAGAGAGGTATGTGCTTTATTGTGACAGTCAAAGTGCTATACATCTTGGCAAGAATTCTACGTTCCATGATCGGTCTAAACACATTGATGTGAGATACCATTGGATTCGAGATGTGTTGGATTGTAAGTTGCTTGAGCTTGAAAAGATTCATACAAATGACAATGATTCCGATATGATGACTAAAGTTTTGCCAAGAGGGGAGTTTGAAGATTGTTGCATGGTCGCCGGGATGGCGGTCTCCTCCACATAGTCGTGAGGGGGAGAATTGTTGGGTTATGGATCTTTTTCCCTTCCTATGTGGATAAATAAAAGTCCAATTTGGACCAACCCATTTTTTCCCATAAGCCCATTCTTATGAGGCAAATATAAGCCTATTTAGGTCTTATTTTCAGATATAAAAAGAGTTTTTCAGCAGCCAAAAAGGAAAAAAAGTGAGCAGTTTTTCGCAGTCAAAAATTCAGCCCTAACAGCCAACTTCAAATTGCGATTCCCGCTTCGTTTCTTGTCCGATTGAGCTGATTTTTGGACAGCATATTATATTCATCTCAATATTTGATTAGAAACTGACAGAGTTGGATTTGGTGGCCTGCAGCTTCAGTTTTGCTGTCGTGAACAGTAGTTGCTAAATTGGTGATTTTGCTCCTTTAATTCTCTAGATTTGGTGCAATCTTATTTTGTTGTTGCTCGTTGTTTGACACTTGTTTTGTGGCCAATTTTGGAGAACAATATTGTAACTCTTGGTGATTATAGTGGAGCTTTTGGTCCCGTGATTTTTTACTCTTCACATCGAAGGGTTTTCCACGTAAATCTTGGTGTTTTGTGTGATTGGTTTATTATTGTCTTGTTATATTTGTTTGATTGAATTACTTGCTGTCTTACTATCATATTGCTTGTGGTTGTTTGTCTTCTCTTGGTTCAAATCGAAAAGGAAAAGTATAGACTTGAGTATTCTTCCGCTGTTATCCTGTCAGGCATTCTTTGTTATTGCCTTGTCTTTCCCAACACAGAGGAGAGAGGACTTTTCTGCAAAACCTTACATACTACTAAATGTAATATTTTAAACTATAGTGATTTATCGTATGTACATTATACGTGTTTTCCTGTTGTATAATCTTTCCAATTTGAATTATATATGTTGGTACCCATGATTTAATTTACGTCATCAATATCTAATTCAAACCCAGGAGTTTCAAATACAATTCTAGTAAGTTACGTTGTAGCCTTCGTCTCGTAGACACACGAAGGCATTTTCCTATCCATTACTTGGAAATTACTAGTTATTAATGTTTTGAAGTTTTATTATTTATAAATAAAATTGTATGAAATTATTTTAGAGAAAAATCAAAATAGTAAATAGTGATATTGTTTTAACTTTTAATTATAGGGACTGAAATTTTTTTCCTTCTTTTTTCTTTTTGGCTAACATAATATTTGGTGCGGATAAATTTTTTCATTCTAATTATAAATGTACAATACAAAATTCTGAACTATGATCACTGATTAGCAACAACCCGGTAAATAATAATAACAATTTAATTAATTAACGTAATTTTTAAGATAAATCTGAGAAGAATAAAATGTAAATAGAAAAATGTTAGTATGGTCAAATTAGGAATTAAGAAAATGATTAGGTTGTACTTAATGGACCTCGTGCTCTATAACATAAAAATAACAAAAGAAATCTAAACACTTTAATCAATTTGTTGAATTAATATTCCCAATGCTTTAACATCACAAAATTGACATTAGCTCCTTGCACTTTCACTATCTACGTTTCTTTCTCCTTTATTATTGGATAGTAAGATAATTACTTCCTCCATTTAAAAATAAATATCTCTTTCAATTAAATTTATCAAAAATTAGTAATTATATGTGCAATTTATTCAATAATTATTTAGGGATGAGAAAGCAAATCACCAATAAATAACATGCATTTGGTTTAAATCATAAATTTGTTTTATTCATAACAAATATGTAATGCGTATGACGAATGAAGTTTATTTAAACTGTCTAAACAAGAAGTTCAAGGACTAATATAAATTTTTTAAAAAGAAGAACTAATTTAAAATTTCAAAAATTATATATGTATAATTATTAATCACCATTGAAAAAAAAAATTGTTATTTTTTATTGAAAATTTTCACTTAAAAATGTTCAATGACTATTTTCAAAGCTATTTTCATTGAATTGGTATTTTCACATGAAAAATCTTGGAAACTTCCAAATATTTTAGCAAGAAATTATTTTTCACCACGCATTTTTTCAGTGAATTGGTTCGACAAAAGAATTGATGAAAAAATCACATTCTAATAATACTATTTTTCATTTATTCGCAGCGGAAAAAACCTTTTTCTAATAATTATCTCAGATGTTTGGAAAAAATAAAATAGTTACAGAATTTTTTATTTCATACATCATGACAATGACGACAACAATTTTTTCTCTTTCTCACCTGTGATGCATATATTTAAGTATACACACAACAAGAACAACAAATACGTTATTTTTATCAAGGTATACAATAACGAAATATACGTGAAACTCGTGTCCTTTTTCTTTAACCTAAATCACCATTTTTACTTTGAACCGTAATGAGTTGTTTGAGTGAAAGTATTTACATTTCACACCTCATTTAATTAAATCACAAATTAAGTGAGTCTTTAACCTTTGCTATGAGAGTTATCACCATTTTAGTTTAAAAACTTATTTAACACCCTTTACTTCATTTCTCCAAGTTACAAAAGAGACTTGAGTTTAAGCTATGCAATTTGAATGGTAAAAAAAATTGCATCCAACTAAATCATGACTCCCAATTAGACATGAAAATGAAGAATTGTTCTTCTTCAATTCTCACTCATGAAAAGGCAATTAAGAATGACTAACTAACAAGACAAAACAATGAAGTCGTTGTGGAAAGTCTACTCTTTCTTGGAAATGAGGTTATATTGAATAAAGAACAGATCCATGTATAATGAATGAATGGCACAAATATAACTATATAAACCACAAGTTTTTTTTCTTTCTGAAACAATCAATCCTACTTATCTGCATTAATCATGCCAAGGGTACAACAACAGCAGCAGAAAGGTACGAGCATGGAGGCGATCATAAAGAAGGGGGCATGGTCTCCGGAGGAAGACCAAAAACTGAGAGGTTATATCATGAAATATGGCATCTGGAACTGGAGACAGATGCCCAAATTCGCAGGTCAGGCCAATAAAACCATACTATTAGTATTTTCATTTCAGATTTCGAATGGTCATATTTTCATTCAATTCTTTCTAGCAATAACTTATGTAGCGACATAGAGGGGTTGCTTAGATGATAAGCATCCTCCATCTCCAACCCTAAGTTTAAGTTTGTGGCTTCGAGTCATTAAGGGAGCAAAAAAGTGGGAGATACTAGACAAGGGGCGGAACTTATGTAACTCTTCATGTTTTCTTAGTCTCCTGAACTTTGGTCATGTGGTTGCAGGGCTTTCAAGAACGGGGAAAAGTTGTAGACTAAGATGGATGAACTATCTCCGCCCTGATGTTAAGAGAGGACCCTTTACCACGGAAGAGGTTGAAATTGTCATCAAAACTTATCAGGAACTTGGAAATAGGTGAGAATTAAGCATTTTTTTCCCCACACAACAGAGTTCTGCACAAGAAAGATTGTAAACTTGTTAACATAGCCTAAATACATAATACTGTATAAAACCAAACCATATTAAATTTGTATTTCTATGCAGCTGGTCAGCAATAGCTGCAAAATTGCCTGGAAGAACAGATAACGAAGTTAAGAACTTCTTCCACACACACTTAAAGAAGCATCTTGGACTGAAAAATCATGATGTTCCATTGAAAACTAGGAAAATCCGCAAACAAACCAAAGAAGATGAGAAGAAAATTAGTACTCGAGGAAGACTTGTACTTGAAACGAGCAATAACAGCAATTTATTAACAACAGATGTTTGTTCACCCTGCAGCAGCATTACTACATGTGAAGAAAACCAAATGATGGATCCTTTTGTGAATTTCTCACAAACTTTTGAAGTTTGTTATAACAACATTACTTCACTTGTTGTCGATCAACAAGTCCCCGGCATGGAACACACATGTATAAATATTGGTGTTGCCCAACCACATTCCATTCCCCATGGTCCTGCTGTTAACTCCTTCGATCAATTCGATATGAATTCATTCTGGATTGATGTACTTGGAAATATCTGAACATCTTACTTTCTAAAACATGTTACAAGTTAGAACCCATGTGCAGGTCCTAGTTTTTATCCACTTTTTATTCTCTCACAAAGCAATAATCTGTATTAGGTCCTAGTTTTATTCCACTTTTTTGTCTTTCTCACAAAGCAATAATTCTAATCTTCTGTCTTAAACTTGAAATATAATAGAATCTATTATGTTTTTTTATGACAACGGAAACCCGCAGTAGCTACCCTTTGGGTGCACACGGTAAAATCTCCGCTCCGCTCCTATGCAATAGCTTGCAAACCACTCAGGAGAGGTAAACCGCACTAGACGTTACTTGTGCGACGAGCTAGATCCAGAAGGCAAACCCCTTGCCAGCGAAAGCAAGGGGTTTCGAACTTGAGACATCCAACATGAAAGTCCCAAGTCCAAACCACTGGACCACCCGGAAGGGTTAATAGAATTTAATATCGTGCCAAGTCTAATTTCATTAAGCTAATATTACTATCAAGGGCGTCTCAGTCCCCCCCCCCCCCAAAACTTATTGCTACCTCTGTAAAAAAGGGGGGGGGGGGCCTACTGCAAAAGAGTCCACACCCTAAGTAAAGAGTAGAGGTAGAGTCGGTCAGTCACACGTTCTCACGTTCTGTGGAGGAGAAGGGGGGATAATAAATTGTATTAAATACCATATAATATGGAATGTTAGCAAAGATAATATTTCTTTTTTGAGGGAAAATTTGAGTAGCATAGATCAATTGGTAAAGACACCCAGGTAATATTGACCAGAAAATAGAATTTTCATGAACTTAAATGATTTTTTTCCTGGTAACATCCAGGTACTATTGTGGAAAGGTATCCAAGATGGAATTGTTTTTCATCTTTTCATAAATAGTGATATAGATCATTTCATATATAGCTTAAAGTTTGTCCAAAATACATCTAATAGAACATTAATATCATTTTAAGGGCTCACTCACGTAATTTTTTTCTCAAATGATCAAACTAATAGAACTCATAAAATTAGACAAGTCGAACCTTTTTACGAGTTAGTACATCATTGATATGCTGGGCCTGGGAATATGCGCTCACGACTTGTTATCTTCTTTCAGCACATATTGGACAGAGATTCTAGAACAGAGTGAACCTCCCTCTTGTTATCTTCATTAAAACAACAAACCCTATCAACAATCGTTGCCTTTTTCCTCTTTGCTCAGTTCGACTTTCTACAATACAAGTTCTTCTGTAGCTTTCTGGGAGATGCATAGTTGGTTTGAAATGAGAAGGTTAACTAGGAATCTATAGACAACTGTTACTCTTCCTGAAACTTGCAGATTTCATGCATCTTGTTGCCTATTTTGCACAAAATGCCACTGAATTTGCTTGTGAAAATACAGTTCTGCCGTGAACTTGGACCTGCTTTGTATTTAATCATCTCTTCTTCCGCCATTCTCTTCAAGGTGTCGCTGATATCCCCCAATGCCCAAGTTATTGAGATGTGAGGGCGTGGATCCTGCCACCAAATCCAAGTAATTTTTAATTTTTCACTTGAAGAAGAAGCATTGATTTGACTGGCCGGGTGTGTTTGGATGAAGGAGAATATTTTCATGCAAAATGTTTTGTTGAAAAATGAGTTTTTTACTTATTTTCTAGTATTTGGTAAGTAAACAAAAGAATTTTATTCGAAGAGCATTTATATGTAATCTAGCAAAAAATAAGTGGGTGGGATCGGGTAGGGAGTGAGGGTTAGAGGGGGAAGGAGGCAATGAACTTGGAATGTCACTGACGAAACTTGTTTTCCTATTTTCATTAGAGAAGTAATTATTCAGGAGCTTGATTTGCAGAGAAAATATTTTTCAAAATATTCTGACCAACAAAACATGAGAAAATTGGAAAACACTTCCTGGAAAATGTTTTCCTACATACCAAACACACTATTGAAACTTGCAATAAATTAATCAGAGTTTATGTGGTCAACCTTGTAAAATTCCGGAAGGTTGTGAAGTTTGTAGACTTCATCAACAGCTTGGATTTGCCTTCTTATCTGAGGGACACAAAATACAAGTAAGTTTCCTCCCTTGCCTCAACGATGAACTATATTAGCAAGACACCGGAGGACAAGGAAGAACAATAAGCTTTTATCTAAATTGACATGAATGAAGCCAGAGAGGAACATAGTAGAGAGCTTAGCTCAAACTCATTGTTCCATAATCGAAACACATGTGAAATATGAGCATAAACTAACCACTGTAAGAGAATTAGTTTATCAAAATTAACGTAGACAATAATTAGAGACACACCTAACTCCTAAGATAAAAAGTCAAACAATAGGAACCACCAAAACCTCTAACAACCCCACAATGCAGTTTTTGATTGTAATGAAATGGATAACGCTTGCACAAGGAGTTCTCTTTCAGTGCGCAGGGCCAGGCATGCCCTGAGATGCTGCCACCATTAGCTTTAGGGGAAACCCCTGTTCTGATCTAGTTTTCAAATTATCCATTCACTTAAAAACCTGGTACTGCGTCCCGCTTCTGACTTACTCCTTATTTTGGTTTAAATCCGCATAAAATAACAAAAGTTGGTGGGTTTTTACTGATAACAAAAATTAATGTATTATCCACCGAAACTTGTTGGCCAACCAATTACGGTGACTTTCATAAAGATATTGACCTTTTATACGATGGAGATGTCCGGAATGGCTTTCAACTATTTGTCATCCTCCTTCCTAAACTTGTTAGCCTGCCAATTATATTTGTCTGCCATGAAGACATCATCCATTCCTTTTCTCGATCTCTACTTAGATATTGTCTGGATGGGCTTATAACTTATTATAAGCCAAAATTCATAAGTTAGGATTGCTAGCTTATGGTTTTTGGGCTTAAAACTACTTAGTTATTTTACTCAAACACTACAAAACTACTTAAAGCCCCTAAAATAAGCCAATCCAAAGAGGCTCTTATCTAAAAGAAATGTTGGCTAATCATGTTGAAACTTGACACAAGTTGTCACTCTTGATTTTGATTTTCATATTGCATATGTTGTTTTGTAAAGCTTTATTCAGAAAAAGAAAAAATGTGTGCTTGGCTCAATGGGTGACTTTTACTTCTTCTTTTTTTTTTTTTTTTGTTAATGGGCATTTCTGGTTAAACCAATATATCTTCAGTTCCTCCAGAATAAGTGGCTGATTCCCGGACCCTGATAACACGGGATGCTTTGTGCACCCGGCTTCCTTGTCCAGAATATGTCAAACGCATTCCTAAATGTAAAGGACATTTATTCTTGATGCTTCATTAAGTTTGTGCCAAGAATAGGATTTTGTCATATCTTGGATTCTAGGTGTTAATATTCCCATAGTCTACTTACTGCTGCCCTTCTAAAAAAAAAACACTCAGTCTTACTTCTGAAATTTTTACATAAGCTAATTTTCCCAAAGATGTTAATTTTTGTTTCAGTTTTCAATGTTTGTAAACGCAACAAACAATATCAGTTGTGAACATTCTTACAAAATCTATTTCAACCCCACCGGTAGCGAGAAGCTTATGGACGTACTGGCCCTGTGAGAAAAAGATACCATACACAGACCTTATAGTAGATGACTGAGGCAATGGGAAGAGGAGGATTTGACAATATACATAAGCAGCAACTCCAATCCAGTTACCCAGACAGAGGGAGATAACCGTCTTTAGTTGTACGACTGTACATCTAGTTTATAATTCCCAAGATTAACCATGAATATCAACTTGATTGATACAACACATACACCTACCAATTCAACACATTCCCAGTCCTTACTGTTGGCCAGGAGGCAGCTTCCATTCACATTGACATATCTCTCTCAAAAATGAAAGACACTATAAGAGCTCATATAATTCAGAAGACACCCTCATGGAATGTTTATCTACCACCATTAAATATAGGATAGCAACTCATATGGTGAATCCTGCTGTAATTCATTTATGTTTTGGTGGGATACCCGACAAAAACCCCGAAGGCCAGTGGCGCACAGTTCCAAACTCGATGAACAATGGGCCCTCCCTCTACCCTTCTCCACATACTTACCAAGTTTTTTTTGTCTGCAACAGAGTTTGAGCTCGTAACATGCGCGTATACTACACATCACAAGCTGCGCTCTTACCACTAAACCAAACCCTAGGAAAAGCCTCTTGTAAGCTTTTCTCTTAGATGTCGTTATAACCACCTCACTAATGAGGAAACAGAAGGGTTGTACAGGTCACTAGGGTAGATTTTTCCATCTCATGACACTCCCTTTCCTACAACCATCTCATATTCTCTTTTTCTCAAGTTACATTACTCTTCTTTAGCTCTTAAATCTCGGAAAATTGAATTTGGCACACACAAGCATGTGCCTCGATATCTATTTTATATTAAGGGACTTTAAGGATGTACCAACAACTAACTTCATTATGAGGAGCATACTTATGACTTCAAACATTCTTCAGAGTTCAGCTAGAAGTGAACACAATCCAAAACAGCAAACCATGTTTCCAACAAGTACTAAAGAAATGGCCTTTTTCATACCTGTGCTAAGCCTCCTTCTAAAACTTCCAGTGACATGAATGTGCGAGTTGAATCATCATTGACAAAGATCTCCCATTTGTTAAAATCAATCAGATACCTATGTCCATTAATAGACAACAATTAACAAAGCAACAACAGGTTTTGTTTTTCTCAAAACAAAATCAGAGATAGCATGCATATCACTAATGACACCTCACCTCCTCTGAAACTGAAGCCTCTGTCGAAGCATGGAGACCACGGAATTAATCTGATGCACGCGGAGAGGAACAGTTCTTCCCAAACTAATGTGAAACTCTCTATCCAACACCACTTTTTCAAGCAGTGCTTCATCTTTCAACAAACCACTCAATGGTACATCAACATCCACAGCATATAGAGTAGGTACTATAGCTGTGACCTTCTTCAGAAATCTGACCAGACCCTTCCTTGTTGCAGATGGTATATAAACTAGAAGTAAAAGAAAATATAAATAAACATTACGAAAAAGTTTTATAACAACCTTCCAATAAAGTTACCAACAAAAAGATCCGATTTCGAATCATACACAA